GCCTGTGCTGGGCAGGATCCCCATTCCTACATTCCCTGTTCCAGGGCTGCTCCAGCCCCTTGCAGGCAGCCTGTGCTGGGCAGGATCCCCATTCCCACATTCCCTGTTCCAGGGCTGCTCCGGCCCCTTGCAGGCAGCCTGTGCTGGGCACGATCCCCATTCCCACATTCCCTGTTCCAGGGCTGCTCCAGCCCCTTGCAGGCAGCCTGCACTGTGTGGGATCCCCATTCCCACATTCCCTGCTCCCAGGGCTGCTCCAGCCCCTTGCAGGCAGCCTGCACCGTGTGGGATCCCCATTCCCCCAGGATCCCCATTCCCCCATGCTCGCAACTGGACCCCTCACTCAGGGGAACGAGGGATGAACCTGGCTCTCCTTTATCTATTCCCTGGTGCACTTTATCCCGTCTCCATCCCGCCGCCTCCGTCGCTCCTCCCCTGCCCAGCGCCCCTCATCGCCCCAGGCCCCCCTGACGCCGTCTCCCCCGCAGTTCGGGGAGTCGCAGCAGCTGCGCATGGTGCGGATCCTGCGCAGCACCCTCATGGTGCGGGTGGGCGGCGGCTGGATCGCGCTGGATGAGTTCCTGGTGAAGAACGACCCTTGCCGAGGTGGGCAAYGCTCACACGGTGTGCGTGGCTTGCACGGCTTGCACAGGTTGCATGGCTTGCATGGCTTGCACCGGTTGTATGGCTCACTCAGCTCACACGGCTTGCACAGCTCACAGAACTTGCATGGCTTGCACCACTCGCGCAGCTTGCACGACTTGCATGGCTTGCACAGCTTGCATTGGTTGCACACCTCATACCGCTTGCACGACTTGCATGGCTTGCACAGCTTGCATTGKTTGCACACCTCACACCGCTTGCATGGCTTGCACGGCTTGTATTGGTTGCACACCTCACACAGCTTGCATGGCTTGCTTGGCTTGCATGGCTTGCACAGCTTGCGTGGCTCGCGTGGCTTGCATGCCTTGCACGGCACAGCACCCCGCCAGCAGCTCCAGAGCATGGGGCCGCCACGTTCCCCACGGCGCTGCAGCCGGCGCAGGCACCGAGGCTGCAGCCGGAGAGCCCCAGCAGTGGCGCAGCGGGGCCCAGCGCCCCAGCCCGTGCCCGGGGGGGCCATGCACGGTGTGCAGCTTCGCCCGTGGCCCCAGCGCGGCCTCCCCACTCACGGCCCCGTTGCCCCAGTGAAAGGAAGGACCAACCTGAAGATCAACGAGAAGTACCTGTCCCCAGATGCCTTGGGGGCCGCCGCGGCCAAGTGCACGGGCAACCAGTCGGCCCCCTCCTCCAAGGTGCTGTCGCCGAGCCGCTCCAGCTCCAGCCTCAGCCTCTACAGCAGCGCCTCGGCCCCCAGCAGCCCCCTGGCCCGCAAGGTGAGCGGGGGCCGCCGCCCCGTGCGCCCCCTCTGCCCCCGGCGCCCGCTCACCCCCTTCCCCGCGCGCAGACGGTGCTGCGGCGCACGCGCTCCGGAGACCGCTGCCCGCGCG